AGCTCGCATAGCCTCACAGCTCGCATAGCCTCACAGCTCGCATCATGAAATTCATGTGATAGCCAGATTAATTGTACTGGTTAAGATAAGGCTAGTACTAGTTAATATCAAATATAACCTAAGCCTTTTTCCTTTCCTTTTCACTTTGATTTCATTGGTTGTTTATATTACTAAGCTTAAATGGTAAGTAAAAGAGAACATGAACATGAAAATTAAATGTCATTATATAACTTAACCAGGGATGCCTGAACTAGATGAATACACCATGGAGAGGATCATGGAAGAATTTGAGCAACGGTGTTACGACAATATGAATCATGCTATCGAGACTGAGGAAGGTCTTGGCATCGAGTATGATGAGGATGTTGTCTGTGACGTTTGCCAGTCTCCTGATGGTGAAGATGGCAATGAAATGGTGTTCTGTGACAAATGCAATATTTGTGTTCATCAGGTATAGCACCATGTACAACAATAATATTGGGACTAGTATAATTTCACTGTGATGGGGCAATAAGGATTTTGCACATTCTAAGCATATTGAAGGTGTTTGAAAGTTTATGAAATGAGATAGATAACTCAGCTAACTATGGATAATTGTGTTACCTGATAACACTTGGCTGATGTTCTCTGTGCTCAGACGCTAAGCAGGATGTTACTTGATTAGCAGTTGGATGGTAGATTTCTATATAATATAATAACAGAGTTTGAAGGGACCTTGGAGGTCTTCTAGTCCAACCCCCTGCTTAGGCAGGAAACCCTATACCACTTCAGACAAATGGCTATCTAACATCATCTTAAAAACTTCCAGTGTTGGAGCATTCACAGCTTCTAGAGGCAAGTTGTTCCACTGATTAATTGTTCTAACGAGATATTGGAACACTGCTAATCATGTCTTCCCTAGTCCTTCTTTTCATTAAACTAGACATACCCAGTTTCTGCAACCGTTCTTCATATGTTTTAGTCTCCAGTCCCCTAATCATCTTTGTTGTTCTTCTCTGCACTCTTTCTAGAGTCTAGAAATAAAATACCAAGTTTGTAAAATAGTTTATAAATATACAGTTGTAAATATACAGTTGCAAGAAAAAGTATGTGAACCCCTTGCGATTACGTGGAGTTTTGCATGAATTGGTCATAAAATTTGCTCTGAACTTCATCTAAGTCACAACAATAGAAAAACACAGTCTGCTGAAAATAATACTACGCAAACATTAGATGTTGCCATGGTTTAATTGAACGTAACATGTAAACATTCACAATGCAGAGAAGAAAAAGTATGTGAACCCCTTGCGATTACGTGGAGTTTTGCATGAATTGGTCATAAAATTTGCTCTGAACTTCATCTAAGTCACAACAATAGAAAAACACAGTC